GCTACAGCTAACTGTCGCTGCTATAGCTACAGCTAACGGTCGCTGCTATAGCTACAGCTAACGGTCGCTACTATAGCTACAGCTAACGGTCGCTGCTATAGCTACAGCTAACTGTTGCTGCTATAGCTACAGCTAGCTGCTATAGCTACAGCTTACGGTCGCTGCTATAGCTACAGCTAACGGTCGCTGCTATAGTTACAGCTAGCTGCGATAGCTACAGCTAATGGTCACTGCTATAGCTACAGCTAATGGTCACTACTTTAGCTACAGCTAATGGTCACTACTTTAGCTACAGCTAATGGTCACTACTTTTGCTACAGCTAACAGTCACTACATTAGCTACAGCTAACTGTTGCTCCTATAGCTACAGCTAACGGTTTCTGCTATAGCTACAGCTAACGGTCGCTGCTATAGCTACAGCTAACGGTCGCTGCTATAGCTACAGCTAACGGTCGCTGCTATAGCTACAGCTAACTGTCGCTGCTATAGCTACAGCTAACGGTCGCTGCTATAGCTACAGCTAACTGTTGCTGCTATAGCTACAGCTAACTGTCGCTGCTATAGCTACAGCTAACAGTCACTACATTAGCTACAGCTAACAGTCACTACATTAGCTACAGCTAACTGTTGCTCCTATAGCTACAGCTAAATGGTTTCTGCTATAGCTACAGCTAACGGTCGCTGCTACAGCTACAGCTAACGGTCGCTGCTATAGCTACAGCTAACTGTCGCTGCTATAGCTACAGCTAACGGTCGCTGCTATAGCTATTGCTAACGGTCACTGCTATAGCTACAGCTAGCTGCGATAGCTACAGCTAATGGTCACTGCTATAGCTACAGCTAATGGTCACTACTTTAGCTACAGCTAACGGTCGCTGCTATAGCTACAGCAGCTAACTGTTTCTGTTTGTTTTGCAGGGTGGAGAGGAAGGAGTGGTCCCGCATGAAGAGTAAAGGTACATTATTATAAATATTTATAATAATAGATGTTAACATGATGCTGAACCAAAGAGGCTTTAATGATCATCGGTTAATAACTGGAGACTGATGTGGAAACAAACGGACCATCATTCAGAGAAAGAAGCTTCATATTCATGTTGAGACAACACCAGGATGGAAAGACATCAGCAATGACTCTAGAGCAGCAGCTACTGCTGCCGGTCAACCTGGGAAGGGTCAAAGGTCACCTCCAGGCCATCTGTAGTCCATCAGGCTCCAGGTAGAACAAGAGGAAACATCTCAGGGCTGAAGGAGAAAACTTCTCTCTGTAAACAAGATGGCCGCCAGACTGAGGTTAGCAGAGCCAAGACGTCTGGGACAATGTCCTCTGGACAGATGAGACCAGAGAGGAGACGATGGGTCGGGACGGTCAGAACCAGGACGAACAGAACCAAGATGGAGGAAACCAGACCCTGCAGATCAGCAGAAGCTCCTCCTTCCAGCTGTGGAGCACGGTGGTGGCAGTGTGATGATGAGGGCTTGTTCCGCAGGAGACCCTCTGATCTCTGGTTGGACCAGGATCTCCTCTGTAAACAGTGAAGCTTCATCCAAACCGGGTCATCAACAGAACCTTGATCCATTCAGCCAATCTCTGGCTGACAACAAACAGAACCAAACCCTGCACTGGCCTAGTCAAAGTCCAGACCTCAGCCTGTTCTGTTGAAGGTTCTGGATGGCTTAAAGGAGGTTCTGCTGGGAGGTTCTACAGGCCAGTGGACCGGGCCGTGGCCTCAGCTCTAACAGAACCGTTCTGCCTCCACCTGTTTTCATCCGTCTGTTTCTGTTCCAGGTAGAGACGGTTTCATCCACAGCTACGAACTCGTCACTCAGATTGAAGGTCAGTACCAGCAGAACCTTTATCCCGACTCGCTGGACCAGAACCAGAACCAGAGGTTCCTCTGACCAACAGACTCACTGATCTATTTCCTGAGAGGAAACCCAGGGGAAAGGAAAGGTTAAAGGTCAGAGTAGAAAGGGTTCTGGTCCAGATCAGGAGAACCAGATCATTGTTCTAAGGTCAGAGTGTCCAGTCCGTCCTGCAGGGACAAACTGATGGGTTAGTTTGTCCTGGTTGGTTTAGTTTCTTCTGCTCGGTTTAGTTCTCTGGTTCATCCTGGACCAACTCATAGCTCGTTGGCTGCTGCTGAACTTTGACCTGCTGAGGAGGAACTGAAACCTGCAGGACACTGTCCCTGAGGACAGACTGGACCCTCCTGGTCTGAGGTGAAGACTCCAGCAAGGAGGCGTGACCTTCATGACCTGCTGAAGGTCACCAGATGACATGTTGGTCTGTTGGTTCCTGGTTTCTCCTCAGCAGGTCTTTGACCTCCATTGACCTTGTAACTGATTCAGTTCTGGTTCCTGAAGGATGTTTAGTACCAGACCGTCTCCTGAAGACGCCTGGACGCTCCATGTCCTAACCGCTGTCCCTCTGTCCCCAGTGGACTACGCCCGTCCCGTCATCATCCTGGGTCCGACCAAAGACCGGGTCAACGACGACCTGCTGTCTGAGTATCCAGACAAGTTCGGCTCCTGCGTTCCCCGTAAGTCTTCCTCCTGATGATGTCATCACTCTGAGAGACAGGAACTCTGTGATGTCACGTCCTGTCTCCGCCTGCAGACACCACCCGTCCCCGTAGGGACTACGAGATGGACGGGCGGGACTACCACTTTGTGTCGTCACGGGAACAGATGGAGCGGGACATCCAGTCGCACCGCTTCATCGAGGCGGGGCAGTACAACAACCACCTGTACGGGACATCAGTGCAGAGCGTCAGGCAGGTGGCCGAGCAGGTGAGGCGGGGGGACAGGTGAGAGACGGGGGGACAGGTGAGAGAAAGAGGGGACAGGTGAGAGAAGGGGGGACAGGTGAGAAAAAGAGGGGACAGGAGAGAGACGGGGGGACAGGTGGACAGGAAGGTGGACAGGTGGACGGTCAGTCTGGACCTGGAGTTCACTGGTCGATGATGAGTAAATAAACGATGAAGGAGACCTTCAGTCATCCAGTGAAGCATCGTCTGCATAGAGATGATATCAGATTGTCTGATGATCTGAGATCAGCGGTTTAGGTTCCTAAATAATGAAGCCATAAGCTGGACGCTCTCCGTGCTTCCCCCCTCGGTCCACTTGATGACGAAACAACAAAAAACCAGACTGGACCCTCTTGATGAAAGTTAACAGTTTACTTCAAAAATAAAAACGGTACAAATGTTACTTTTCCATAAAATAATAGAGTAAACAAAAAGTCTTAAGAGAGAGAAAGAAAGAGAGAGAGAGGTCAAAAAACTGTGTGGCTTCACTCCAACTGCCCGACTGATTCAGCCTGGCCACACCCTAAAGTCCTTAACTGCAATTACATATGCAGATTTACAGTAAGACCTTAGAATAGTCCAATATAACAAATTAAATATAAAGATAATTTATCCTAAAGGTCTGAATGAACTAAAATTGAATTTAGGTTTCTACAAGCAGATTTAAAGGGCCGGCAGCGCTGTAGACACAGACTGTATAGAAGCTGCTGTTCTGGGTTCTTGCATAAATCCAAAGGTTCCTCCAGGTGTTTGGTCAGCTGATGTTTACCACAGCATGACCTCCTGACCCCTGTGGGTCCATGACCTCCTGACCCCTGTGGGTCCATGACCTCCTGACCCCTGAAGGCCCAGGATCCTGTAACCTCCTTATCTGTGGCTAACTGTCGCCCCCTGCTGTTCCAGGGGAAGCACTGCATCCTGGATGTTTCAGCCAACGCTGTGAGGCGTCTGCAGGCGGCTCACCTCCATCCCATCGCCATCTTCATCCGCCCGCGCTCCCTGGAGAACATCCTGTAAGTCACACCTGACCTACCTGACCTTTACCTGAGCTGGCGGTAGACCCGGTCCAGAACCCGACCAGGTCCAGAACCCTTCCGGTTCCTCTGTCCTGAATCGTCTCCCTGATTGTCTTTAGGGACCTGAACAAGCGTCTCTCAGAGGATCAGGCCAGGAAAGCTCTGGACCGAGCCGTCAAGCTGGAGCAGGACTTCCTGGAGTGTTTCACAGGTAAGAACACCTGAGGACCTGGACCAATCAGAGACAGCCTGTCTCTAACCAACCAATCAGAGCAATCCTGTCTCTAACCGACCAATCAGATTGCTCCTGTCTCTAATCGACCAATCAGAGCGATCCTGTCTCTATCCGACCAATCAGATTGCTCCTGTCTGTCTCCTCCAGCCGTTGCCCAGGGCGACAGCTTCGATGAGGTCTATCTCCAGGTGAAGCTGGTCATCGAGGAGCAGAGCGGACCGTACATCTGGGTTCCTGCCCAGGACAGACTCTGATTGGCTGGCCTCTGTCTCCATGGCAACCACCATCACCTCCTCCATCTGCTGTGGGCGGAGCCACAGGACATGGACAATTTACACCTGAAAAGGACGAGCTCAGACTGCTGTAACCATGGCGACCACTTCCTGTCCAGAGAGACGAATAATCCTGATAACGAACCAGAGACTGTAGGAGCAGATCCAAGTATTTATAGAAACATATTTATCATTATTTATTAAGACTTTCTGTGATGTGGAAGTGGGCTGTGTGTGTGTGTGTGTGTGTGTGTGTGTGTGTGTGTGTGTGTGCATACAGACTTGTGTGACTGTAAATAAAACCAAGGGGCTCAAACACACAGTCTATTCAGGGCTTAAACTACCACACAACCACTGGACTACAACTCCCACAATCCTCCTCTTTAGGACTACAACTCCCTCAGCTCTCCTGTCAGAGCCGGCCCAAGGCAGAAGCAACCTAAACCAAACTCTGAGGTCTATCAGAGACTCCCATGACTCGTCAGATCTAAAATATTTAGATCTGATGGTTGAGAAAAAGATCATTTTTTTTTATTTTTTGTATTTATTTTATTTAATGGTTTCATAAGAGAAATATTTGTTTAAAATTTAGTTTCAGTTTACTTTGTAAAACATCCACATCATCCTCCATCTGGACTACAACTCTGTTTGGATTCTTTCTGTTTTTTGGACTACAACCCAATGCTCCTCCTGTTTGGACTCTAACTCCCATCATGCCGTTCTGTTGGGCTGAAGGACTCCATGTGATCTCAGCATCACATTTCATATCAAGTCTTTCTCAGATGCAGCCTCCTGCATCACACAGGACTACATTACCCAGAGTTCCCTGCTCCATGGACCCTGGCAGCAGCAATGAACTGCTGGCTCAGCAGAAGACATTCGGACCAAACTGGACTCAAAAAGAACCTTTCAGTCCATCGGGATCCTCAGAACCTCTGAGCTGGTTCTGTTGCTGGAACGGGTCAGGCTGGAGATGATCAGGAGGGAAAGACTCCTTACACACACCTGGACACACCTGGACCAGAAGAGGCTGCTGGTCTCAAAGCTTATTGTAAAAACAGAAAAGTTAGTTATTAATGAAATTCAAATATTTAATAAATTCCTTATAAAACTGAATTTTGGCTCCAACTCAGTGCTGGATAGAACCACCAGAACTATCACACCACACACTTAGGCTGCGTTCACACTGCAGCCTGAAGTGACCTAATCCAGGATTTCTTTTGACGTAATGCGACCTGTATCCGATCTTTTCATGACAGTCTGAACAGTACAGGCCGGATTCTTTTCAAATGTGACCCATATCCGATACTATCCGATGTGAGCTAACGTTCAGGTCGCATTCATCTGATTCTCACCAAATCTCACTATTCTGCGTCCTGATAAGCGCAAGTGGGAAGAAAAACAACAACCATGACGGATTATATTAGGATTAAGTTGTTGCTGCTCCGGCCGGACAACAACTTCAATATGTAAGCAAGTTGGCAGAACACTGAGAACGCTGACGCTATGGCGCCCTCTACTGCGCATGTGGGACACTTTCAGGTCGTTTTCCTGTTCATACTGCAGAATGCAGACAGGGCGCATTTACTGGCAGTGTGAACGCAGCCTAAATGTTCTGAACCACCAGAACCATTAGAACCCAACCTCTAACCATCTGAACCAGTGGCAGTTTGTCTCCTCCTGCCTCCTGATATAGTCATTACACCTACACTGTGACATCATCGGTTCCTTCCTGCCGTTTTTATCAAACAGACCTAAATATCAGCATTAATTCACTTTATAAAGTCCTGTTTAATAGTACCTGGAATCAGTCCATCTCTAACTGCCCACATCTCAAGACTAACAGTTAAATATAAATGTAGTTTCAATACTAAATCACAACCATTAAGAGTAAAACAACATTCAAAAACTATAGAAATACACTTGTAGCGAAGCAGCGCTAACAGAAGTGATAATTAACATCCACCTATTCATGACACAAGTAATATTACAACTTACATCGTTTATGACTGCAGCACCAGTCTCAACAGTAAACAGATCAACTGATGAACGTCAAGAAGAAAATAACAGAACAACCCTCCTTCCAATCAAAGGAACCACTTCAAAATAAAAGCATAGACTTAAGTCATTGAAGTACTTGAAGATAAATTATACTGATTGTAGATTCCTAAACAATGAAGCCATAAGCTTGACGCTCTCCGTGCTTCCCCCTTTGGTCCACTTGATGACGAAAACGACAAAAAAAACAGACTGGGTCCTCTGGATAAAGGTTAACAGTTTACTTCAAAAATAAAAATGGTACAAATATTACTTTTCCACAAAAGTAATATACTAAACAAAAGAATCCTAAGCGAGAGAGAGAGAGAGGTCAAAAAACTGTGTGGCTTCGCTCCAACTGCTCAACTGATTCTGCTGGTCACACCCTAAAGTCCTTAACTGCAATTACAAATTTACAAGAAGACCTTAGTATAGCCCAATATAACAAATTAGTATGAAATGGAGATTTAACTAGTGATCATTTTTATCCAAATAAACAAATTACCATAAGAAATATTAACATAATTTATCCTAAAAGTCTCAATGAACTAAAATTACATTTAGGCTTCAACATCACCGGCCCCTAATTGTTATCAATATTCTTGAAACAATTACAAACAGAAGAGTTTACATGAACAAGAAAAACCTAAATTACATCACATTTACTGAGAAAATCAAGTCCATTGTCTTTCACCTCAGGAATGAGACCTTGACCTTAGATCCTTTATCTGTCATCTTCTGGTCCCTGCAGAAGACAGAGCTTTGTTATGGGACGACAAAGCTCATTAGTCTTAGTCTTTACTTTCACCTGCCGAACGAAGCCATTTCTGTCCGGAAATGTCTCCACAACTCTTCCAAGTGGCCATGAGTTCCTGGGAGAGGTGTCGTCCACGATCAGAACCACGTCTCACACGCAGAAGTTTCTTTTAGGTGAAGACCACAGCTGACATTCTTGGAACTGGGACAGATATTCCCTGCACCAGCGTTTCCAGAAGATATCTGCGAGGTACTGCACCTGTCTCCAACGGCGATTTGTGTACTGATCATCCTTCTGAAAGACTCCTGGTGGTAATTCAGTCTGACCTTTAGCAACAACAGATGATTAGGGGTTAGTGCCTCCAGGTCATGAAGGTCTGATGAAGCCTTTGTAATGGGCCTGCTGTGTATAATTGCTTCTGCTTCACAAAGCAAGGTGTGTAGACCCTCCTCATCCAAAAGTTGCTCCTTTACTCTCTTTACTTGACTTCTACCTCTTTTTACTAGGAGCGGCCAAAATAATCAACGCCAACTCTGGTAAATGGAGGATCATCCGGAAGGATCCTGCAGGTAGGTAGATCTGCCATAAGTTGTTTGCCAGTGGTTCCATGTAGTCTTTGGCAGATTACGCATTTGGATAGAAATCTTCTGATGGCTCCGCTGGGATCCAGAATCTTTGTCGCAGCTGAGCCAACATGTGATTCCTTCCTGCATAAGCTGTAGTGTCGTGAATGTGTCTCAGCACAAGATCTGTGACATGTGACTCCTTTGGCAGGATGACTTGCTGTCTGGAATCGAAAGGCATTGCTGAACGGTGCAACCTTCCACCAACTCTCATAACTCCATCTTCTAGCACTGGATCTAGCTTAAAAAGTGAGCTACTTTTCTTTACCCTCCGATGTTCTTGCAGCATAGCCAAATCTTTGAAACTTTGCCTTTGACAGTATTTAACAATTTCTGTTTCTGCTTCAACCAAGTTCTCACATGTCAGATTCTTTGCTTTGAAACTCTTCATGAACCTGTCCATCGTGGTCTCATCATCTTTTAGTTCCTTCCTCCTTTCTTTAAGTTCCTTCAGCAACTCTTTCAGTTTTAAGAACCAAGCTACAGCACGTTTCTGTTATGAGGTATGTTGGTTGGTGGTGAGGAGAGATGCAGATAGACCCAGGATATAGATGAAAATGGTGATATTTAATTAAGGAGTTGCTCAAACAGTCCAGATCAGGCAGCACGGCAGAGAACAAAGCACACGGCTAATTACCGGTAGCAACTGACACGAAGACTGAACTAGGAGCTACGCTAACCAGGACTTCACAGTTCGACTGGAGAGCTAGGACAACTACTGACATACATTAGACAAACGTTTGACAGCAAAGGACATACGTAAGACAAGGACCCGAACAAGAGACAGAGACAACAGGTGGACATAAATACACGCGGGGTAATCAAGGGAACGAGACATACCTGGGAACAATCAACGGGGAAGACGCAGAGACAGAGATTCAGGGAACAGGATAACAATAAACACAGAAATAACTCAAAAATAAACACACAGAAACACAGATCATGACAGTTTCAGCTTTGTCCGATAAGAATAATGGCTCATCAGCGGATCCAGGACATCCTTTGATTCTTGTACATGAATGATGTGCACTTGAGTCATTCTTTTGATCTCCGGGTCATCAATATCTGGCATTCCAGGATCTGGATTTTTGGGCCATTGGTCATGTGAGCCAAGCAAGAAACTGGGTCCAGATAGCCAAACCTTGTTTTTCAAAAATTCTTCCACAGTTTGTCCTCTTGAAACATGATCAGCTGGATTCAGATTAGTGTTGATGTATCTCCACTGTGATGTCTCAGAGTGTTCCAGGATAGCTGAGATCCTATTGGAGACAAAAGTCTTGAATCTGGTGCTTTCACTCCTGAGATACTTTAGCACAGCCGTGCTGTCAGTCCAAAAGACCGATTTAGAGAGCTCCAGCTCCAGCTCCTTTCTTAGCAGTGTGTCCATCTTTGTTGCAACTGTAGCAGCCGTCAATTCCATTCTTGGGATGGTTGGTGATTTTAAAGGTGCGACCCTTGTCTTGGCCATGATCAGTGTGCATTGAGTTTCCCCAGTTTCAGAGCACAGCAGCAGGTAACTTGCTGTTCCGTAGGCATCTTCACTCTGTCGAGAAAAGTTGAGCTCATCCCACTTCCCCATGCTGGAGATTTTAGTTTAATAATAACAATAAATAAAGTT